TTGCTCTTAGAGTATGTATCTGTATATAACTCCAAAGGTCTAGTATTTAAATTCCTGCATGTGGTTGAATGATGCATTTGATATGTACATTTTGTCAGCTTTACTTCTCCTTTCATATTGAATTTTAGTGAGAGTAATATATATGATTTACATTTTTTTATGTATACCTGCATGTGTTTTTAAGGTCCTATACAGCCAAGGAAAATTTCCCTCTGGGATAATAAAGTACTATCTTATCTTAACTTATCTTATATAGGTGACCCGAGTTCGATTCCCGTATGGGAAAAATAGTTGACGGGGATTTCGATCTTTCTGCAAGGGCGTTGTATCCAACAGCTTGAATAGGCCCTGACTATCAAGATCGAAGCCCGCCTCTTAATTAATAGGATGTAAAAAAATCTACATTTTTATTTAAAACTGATTCAGTTGTTAGATGTTGTTGTTTTTTCTGTTTATATCAGTGAGGTTTTTTTCTATCATGTGTCAATGTTTCTACTATGATTGATCGCTTTTAGAATCACAGAATACATTTTTCTCCTTGTTTTCTAAATTATTTAGGGTACCTCTCCTACACACCCAAGTAAAAAGATACTGACCACGAGATATTAATCTACGAAAATATGTTATTATTTCCAGAAGAATTCTGGAGTGATCGTGATCACGTCGTGGAGATGAACGAAGGACTTCTTTATCGTGCTCCAGAGTTCAATACATTAATCAAACACTGAACAGTTTTTACAATGTGTCAACGTCTCACGTCCAATAGATTATTCTGGGCGTGGGATGGAAAAGAGTGAAACGATATCATCATTTATTTGTGTAGCCTATTTCTGAGAACTGACATGGAAAGACTGAAATGAAGGACAAGGCGTTTTGGTTTCAATCGTAGAAGCTCGTCTGATTTTGTCGATTGCTATAAGTGTAACAGGTAATGGTAACTGTAATTTTATTCAAGAAGTGTTCTTCGGTAATTTTATTCAAAAAGTATTTCCTGGGGTCAAAGATCTGTGTCATATAAACCGATTCCAAACAACTGCTGATTGATTTCCACCAGTTTCATTGAGAGAGACAGGCAGATGGTGAGAAACGTGTGTTCGTTCGCACATTCACTTTTACTTTCTAGACCTTGTGTTTTTATAGGAAGTGTAGTGTGTTGTCCGTGTAATCTTCAGTGAGTGACTTACTTTTCTGATGGCTTCTCCTGACTGTAAGAACTGTGTTCAGAAGTAGATTCTTCCACATCGACATAGCTACGCACACACAGCAAGGGATGAGCGAAACAGAATACACAGCAAGAACTGAGGGATACTGAAAACGACGTAGGTAGGATCTACCAGTGGTGACATCGTCGTGCGAGGAGCAAACTGTCTCACCTGGCGAAGGAAGACGGACGGACAGAGAGATCTATAGATGGCCAAAGTGGAGGATGTCAACACGATAGAGATGAAGAACGGAAGCATACAGGTCGAGATGAATGGACATGGAAAGAAAGGGCCGTTAGAGAACGGTCTGACGAACCACAATGAAGCCTGTAAGTGGACTGGTTGTGTGAGAGGGAGAGAGAGAGTGTGTGTGTGTGTGTGTGTGTGT